TGATTGGTAGATTTTCATACAAATTTCAGAAAAAATCGGGTGGGTGGGAGGATTTTATTTTTTAATTTGTATTCCCTATATTACACTGACATGGTTTTGAGAACAGTAACATGATTTGTATCGACCAAAGATGCTGTTTCTTACTTGGTATCTGCATAATAATAAATTGTGCCTTTCCAGTAAATATTTTTACTACATAGCAAAACATAGAGACTTCTAAATTATCCCTTGTAAATTTTGAACAGGATGTTATGAAGCCAAAAAAACATGAAAAACGTCACAATATAAACCGGTAACAGAAATGAACCAAATCCGCAAATCTGCAATTCCTAAATTTTATAAAATAAAATAAATGAAGGCGGGACATTTCATACGGAGTATATATCTCCCAATTGATACGATATTCCCGGGCTTGTGTTTCCTATCATGATTTCCTTGATAGAGGATTGTGGCTCACAAGGAAGTTATTAAAGCAAGAGTTCCAAATGGTGAACTTGAAATCATCCCTTCTTAAATTGTACGGACGCCATCACAAGTTGGTTGACCGTTATGGAATAACCGTTCCACAGATGCAGTGATCTGGAAGGATTTTTTCTCTATGGGCCCAGGGCCCCCATGAAATAAATTCAATGGGCCATTTTTAGAATTAATGGGCCATGTTGTCAAATGAATGGGCCATTCGTTTACAATAAATAATTTAAAAATAAAATGTATATTTCAGCAACGAGGCAGTGCCAGTGGTACTTACAGTACCTGTATGATTCTAATTGATATCATGGATATTGTTCCTGTGCTTTGTAATTTCAATTTCAATGAATATACAATAATTTCTTCCAAACCGGGCAATATTTACGATAACCTTTATTTACAACTGGTACTGTTGCCTTGTTCATGTTTTTCTTTACATTAAATTTGGGTCTTCGTCGATTGCCATACTTTATTCCAGACGTTCCGTATTAGAGGGCGTTTCTGGCATTTCCTCTGCACTTCTTGTATTATTATTACTTCATCCCGATGACAAGAATAACAGTAGAGAGTAACGTTAATTGATAAGACACAACAACAATTCGCTGAAGGCATGTTTACAAAATGTTCAAACGAGCCAAAGACCAAAAAATTGACAAGGACAGTTAAGCGCCTTTTAAGGAAACAAATACAGTTTATACTACATTCATAAAAAGGCTTTTGGGTTTTTCAATCGAAATAATAGCAAGCTTACTTAAAAGATTATAATTAGAGAAAAAATTTCGGCTGTACTAGCCAAATTTCACAAATTTAAAGTTGTTTATAAAAATTTATATCATGAATGATGGTTTATTACGTAATTTGGGTAATCAGTTATACCGCATGTTGCTATTATTACCATAGAAAAACGCCCGAGACGTCCAAAAAATCAATAGGTGGTGCTCCTATCATTGGAGGGAACACTACACAGTTTTGTACACACACATGGCGACACGATTCATGATCGGAAATCCATTTTACGATATCTAAAGTTTAAAAACGAAGTGAAAAATATCGTGCACCATGTGGGCGCTTACATTTGTCACCCTATGCGACATTTATGGTCGAAAAGCACAATTAGCGCATGGCGCACGTCCTTCCCGATCACTGCAGATGATATCGGATATGTTCCTTATGTTGTAACTACAATACCCTTCCATTTTCACGAATGTGACTTACCGAATTAGACTATTTATCGGATTTGTAATAACATAAGCAACACGACGGGTGCCACATGTGGAGCAGGATCTGCTTACCCTTCCGGAGCACCTGAGATCACCCCCAGTTTTTGGTGGGGTTCGTGTTGCTTAGTCTTTAGTTTTCTATGTTGTGTCATCTGTACTATTATTTGTCTGTTTGTCTTTTTATTTTTGGCCATGGCGTTGTCAGTTTGTTTTCGATCTATAAGTTTGACTGACCCTCTGGTATCTTTCGTCCCTCTTTCAGATTGGTGGGTGGTATGAAAATCTATCAATTAATTTGAATTGGCCTTAGCTGTATACAGAGGCAGATTTAGAGGGAGCACCCCCGTCCCCTTTTTTGTGGGAAAAATTTTGTTGCTTATATAGGGTAGTACTGGAGCAGGCTTGCATTTTTTAAATTGTAATCTCGGTCCTGCCTTTTTATTTTTCACTTTATTTGGTCCTGCCTTTATTTTAAAAGTTTATCCAGGTTTTTTTGCCAAGTTGCTCATCCTGCCGTTTTTTTTACTAGAAACTCCTATCCTGCCTTTTTTTTTAAATTTAATCCTAGCTCCCCCCCCCCCCCCCCCCCCCCCCCCCCCCCCCCCCCCATAAAAATCAAATGGTAGTTCCCTAAGTCATCATGATCAGAAACCAGATATAAAAATCTAAAATATGTAAGGATGTGTCCGAGGACACAATGCCCCCGCTCAAGCTTTGCAATCTTCCAAGTTATAAAAGGGCATAACTTTCAAACGGTAAATGACTCTCTGCCCAAATTCAAACTTTGTCTGCGTGTTTTGGTTCGAAGCATAGTGTTTTTTTTCAAAAAAATTTAGATAAGCCAAATGAGTTTGAGTGCGGAAACGAGAGAAAAATTGGACCTTCCAAGTGTTAAAGGGGCATAACTCTAAAACGGCAAATTACTCACTGTTTATATAAGAAATCTGTCAGTGTACTGTTTTGGTTCAAAGCATTGTGTATAAATTTCATAAAATTTGGACCCGCCAAAATAAAGTGCAGGAATGAAACAAAATGCAATTTTCCAAGTTATAAAGGGGCATAACTCTAGAATGGTAAATTAGTCACTACCAATATCCTCCCTGTCTGCATGTTGTGACTTTTAGCATTGTGTATGAGTTTCATAACAAACTTAAGTTAGATTGCGGAAATGAAAAAAAGAGTAACACTTAATGGCCCATTCGCCTTGCAGCAGGGGCATAAACACGGAAAAGGGTGGTTAATGGTTATTTTGATGCAACGCATTAAGCTATTTTCATTTCACTACTTCTGTGAAAAAAACTGATTATGTACCATGCTTTGTGAAATTGTTAAAAAAAAGCAACGTGCAAGTAAATTTTATTTTTAGTTCATCATGAAATGACAATAATATATCAATTTCTTCCATGCACATGATGATGTCATCACACACACACCCTTTTGCGACCCTCATTGATGCAAACTACATGCTACCATCAACCAAAAGCTAATATAAACATGGTTTTCCTTAGGATAAAATTTGTGTGCTTGATAAAGAACAGTTAAATAAAATCAAATATGAACTACAGCAAACCAAGGACCACGTAGTTATAAGCTGACTTGGAATATTCACTTCAAATGAAGACTGCATTGCTGGGAGGTCAACTATTTGTTGGCACGGTGCCACCCAACCCTCTCCTATAATAACCTGGGACAGTAATATAATATAGCTTTATGAGCATGATGAGAGCAAACTTCATAAGTCTGGTGATAAAAAGCTTTACAACAGAATGTTAATTTCTTAATCAAAACTGTGCTTAAACCCCAACTAATTTACTTTAGTACAAAATGTAGCTTAATTTGAACAAAAGCATTGTTTTTTTTTGTAACTGATGCCCTACTCGCACTATCTTTTTTTATGTTCAGTGGACCGTGAAATTGGGGTCAAAAACTCTAATTTGGCATTAAAATTAGAAATATCATATCATAGGGAACATGTGTACTAAGTTTCAAGTTGATTGGACTTCAACTTCATCAAAAACTACCTTGACCAAAAACTTTAACCCAACACGTGACAGACAGACGAACGAACAGATGCACAGACCAGAAAACATAATGCCCCTCTACTATTGTACATTTTTGTACATGTAGGTGGGGAATAAAAATTTGCACAGCATGTTTTTTTTTTATAACTCAAACAGGTCATTCTTATATTTCAAGACATGAAAATTCAGCCACCTCTTGCAAAGGCTATTTTTTTTAAGAACTAGCTACAGTACTTGCAGAACTAACAATAAGAAATAACTACATGTATAGTTACTTCCAGGACTAATTGCCAAATTGTGTTTCTGGACAAGGAGCTGATTCAGGGGCAGATCCAGCCATTTTCAAAAGGGGGGTCCAGGGGTAGATCCAGCCATTTTCAAAAGGGAGGTTCCCAACCCAGGGTAAAGGGGGGTCCAAATATACATTCCGATACAAATGAATTGCTTGTCCAAAAAGGGGGTGGTGGCACCCTTGGATCCGCCACTGGAGTCCAACCTAGGAGAAACCGCAGGGAGAGAGGGAGGTTTAAAATATGTCCCCTTTAAATAACTTGATCGTAAAACCAAGGCCAGGGGTTCCGACAGCCCGTTCTTCCCATTCATACACTGCACAGACATTGTGTCAATAATTATAGTCCTATAAATCCCTACTTATGTGTATTTCATATAATCAGTATTATTGTAATTTTGTTTATTACTATACATAAAAATGCTTCTATCTGACTGTCTGAAGCAAAATATTTACATCCAACATGTACATGATTTTGACCAATCCCACCAATCTATATAATCATTTAATTAGTTATACTAAAACAAAGCTTTTCTCTTGTCAACTGGTAATTATTTTAGATCAGTTTAACAACAAAACCACATACAATTTTAATCAGGGTATAGCAATATCTCGGGTCGCCGAGTGCTACCACGTGTCCAAATCAAAACAATAACAAGTATTTACATCGCTTCATTTTCAGTTTCATTTCACAAAGTTCGTTTTACGTGTTTAAATCAAATCGCGTACAAGGCATCAAGAGTTGTCTCCCTAATATTTATCTTTTAACAAGGTAAAAAAAAAATTACTTATTCTAGTTATTTTTTCCAGACCCCACCTGCTTTCCAAGTAAAAGCGTCGACACTGCTCCTACGTGTGTCGACGTATAAATTACAGAAATAGACATATGAAATGTTAATAAAACCTGGAAAAATATAAACAACATCAATAAAATTGCATAAAATAAGAGAATTTCTGTCAAAAAATGGACGAAAACGCATTTAAACAACAACAAAAACTCACATTTTTTCGATTTGCTTCTGAAGTTCTGTGTTGATGAATCCTAGTGATCTTAAAAACGCGGGAAATGACGAGTGAATCACGCGAGACTAGTAACTGGTAAAAAAACCGCGGTAAATTCGAATGGGAATTAGAAAGAGCTTGATCTTTTAGTAAAATACAGATTTGACAAAAATAACGCGAATACGTCATAAAAATTGTTACTTGTTTAAGTAATGCCCCTGACTGATAAAGTGTGTACAAATAATAAATAAAATGCATCATATTTACCCGGTGTATCCCCTTTATAGTAACGCCAGTTAGCCGATACAGTTGTAGCCGTCAAGTCATTCAGAATAGAAGTTACCAACTCACATTTCAAGTCGTTTGCATGAAAGAAAAACGATTCACATCCGCTGGCTCGGGAACACAATAATGCGCATTTGACAGAAGATTCAGATCCTAATTCCAGAAGTATATTTGAAGTACCAACACGATCATTAAAATTTGAATCTACGATGTATGTCTTTATCAATGTCTGTCGTGTTTCCAAACATACCATAAAACACAATGAAACCAGTAGATTCCAAATATGCATTGTTTGCAATAGAAACGATAACAATTTTGAAATAATAATTAACAAAAGTGTATTACAATATGGTTCTAGTAAATGCAAAGTTAGTAATGACAATCATTGTCTTAATGTTGCTTGTATCATACAATCGAGGTTATGATATCTTCATTACTCTTTTAACATATCACATGATTTAATTAGTATTTAATTTATTCATAAACAATATGTTTCGTTGTCTAATGATTAAATTGATTTTACGTACTTATTGAAACATGTTAAATTAAATACCAAGATGAATCCTTAGTGACAGTACCGGAATCAAATATTCAGGTAGCAATACTTTACAAATATCCTTTGTTTTATCCGTTTTAACGTCCGTTTGAATTGCTTGCACTGACTGCATAGTTTAAATTTCAATGGAAGATTTTAATGTGTGTCTTTTTAATTGCATTTGCATCTAAATATACGCGCATATATCAAATCGCTATCAATATATGCTACCCATTATCTTCGTCAACATAAAATCAAGCAATAACTGAAATATAATTCAAACACACTCGCTTCGTATCATTTCTTTATTTCACTCTATTTTTATTATATTTCAAGTTCATTCTAAATATTCTGCCATAATGATTGTTCATCTACTAGAATATCAAGTCTATGTTCATCCACTTTACCATGGAGCAAACGGTAATGTGAATATTTCATTTTGTGTGACAGTTCATTTTGGGGCCCTCTTTGCGGCCTGCAATGAAACTATGTTCATTCTTTGAAAAGTGTGACACCTAAGTGAATTTAAACAACTAAACCAAAAGGTGCTGGGTGTAAATTGCGCAATGAAAACAATATATGTACATTGTCCGAAATATACGCTATATTTGTACTCGCTACAAAACAGGAGAAAAATTCGGCGAGCATCGATTTTCGTCCTATTTCGAAAGCTGCTACAAATAAATTTAATATTTTCCGACATCGTACATATATTGTATATTTGCAGGGTCTTTTGAGTTAACATAGATAATTTGTGCTGTCAAAATCGCAAATGAAATAAAATCACTAAAATTTACATTCAAAACAAAATTGGGCAGTGTATTCAAAGTGCGAATCCGGAAATACTATTTTTACTGTATCTGTCATGTATTTTTATGTAGAATTATAATTAAACAGACGAAAATTGATGATTTTTAATAATAAATTACAAACAATACATCAAAAATATTGTTTTAATGAATTCGTATTACAGGTAAGTGATGCAGACGTGTTTACATCGCCCATATAGCCATCCAGGTTTCACATCGATAATTCAATAAGTAAATATTAAGAATATTTAACGAACATAGCCTATTAAAAGATTTAAAAACAACAGTAAAGTTTGTTTTCAGAAAAAAAATATATCTTTGGACATAATCAGTAATTTTGCATACCTTGAAACAGGCTTCGTCATTCAATTTGTTGTTATTGAGTTAAATTCCACTCTGCTGCTCTCGTTATGTGGCTAATGTTTACTGTTGAATAACGATACGATACTTTCTATTGTATATTCGGTGCGTTTTCACAATAGGAATTTTTTTCGTCTCATCAAATAGAGTCTTTATTCAACTAGATCACAACTTAATAAAGTCAGAAGGATTTGAAAATGGCTACTTTGTGTTAAAGTCTGACGAATTACAAAATCGAATTCCATAAAAAGAGTATTTAATGCTAAAAATATTCTTTTCTTTTTCCCTAAGAATTCGTTTGAATATATTTGTCGGATAAAATTTATCTTTCCATTATTAAATACATACACCTTAGACAGTAAAGCACATCCACCATCACAGAAAACTTTTCGGTTTTTGTCTATATCTAGGGTAATTTACAACACATACTAATAGAGCGTCATTAAAGGGTGCATCGTGGTTAATAAAGAGCGTTCACACAATGATTTACATTTAACGCTCGAGTGACAGGCTGCGTATTCAGTTTGGGTTTATATCTAAGGTGTAATGCATCACGTATCGATGCAGCGTCATCAGTGCGTATATTGTGGACAAAACACGCTCTCCTACAGAACTTGACACTTCACGACTGAATGACTTTGAATAATTTATATGTTAAACGAAACTTTCACAGTGCATACATCATGTACATCTTATACAGTAAAAAAACCCTGCAAGCGACAATTGAGAATGTGTTGTTAAGAATACGTAAATACATTATTTTGAAATTATAATGACATATTGAGAATCGCAGTTTGTTGCTTCAAGTTTAAAAAAAAGTTCGTTATCACGGGTACGTATAACCGCCGTACAGTTGATTCCGGATGTTGCTGCGAATCGAAACAAAGCTGGTAGATAGAACGTTCATATAATTTTCTTCAAAGACTTATGGCAGTAATGGTCATTTTTCAATGTTGATGAAAACAAGTCTATTGCTTCCTAACAGCATTGCATATTGTTTATATTACATGCACACCTATAATGACTTTAAACAACAACAAAATCACCAAACGCACGATAACAAGTAGTTTTCGACTCAACATAGCATGCTGTTATTTATAGTTTAATCGAGTTTATGTTACAAAGAGCCTTTGTTTCGAAATGTTTGTAAATAATAAGTAAACTTACCTAACTACGGTAGTCACAACTAATGAGAAACACATTGTTAGATTTCATTATAGATATGTAAAGGTTTAATTCCTAATTTTGTCATGGTTCGTATTCTTTAGAGTTAGTTTGTTTGTTTGTGTAATACCACTCTTTGTAAATTCATGTACTGTTTGTTGTGCGTTTTGACTTTTTAAAGCCAATTGAAATGGTAGAAATATATATGTATCTTTCGGGAGAACTTTTCAAAGCTTATTTAAGCAAAAACTAAAACTTTTCAATGAAAAAGTCGCTATAAAAAAAGGTTTGCATTCATGGATTTCATACTCCAGAATATTGTCGAATTCGTGACACACTAAAAGCAAACTCATTGAAAATCTTTAAGTATGCATCATGTGAACGTGTATCCCCTCAAGACGATGTGTCAAATATCATCATAACCTGACCTTCGTGCGACATTAACCTCACGTTTTTGGGATATTGTCGCGAAATCTCCGAGAAACTGGATTGCAATCGGGTGCTTCCAATGAATGGCAATCTTTTGCACCAGCAAGTTCTGTTTCACGGTAAACATATACAAAAGTCATTTGTTTTAGTTTTTAGACTGTCAAAGAATTAAGTCGTTAATATATATTAACATGGGTATTTCAACAGAAACAGCATATGTTTATCTCGGTGTTTTTACAAACGGATGGTACAGTACTATTACGAAAACGCGTAACGAACGATAGATATAGACTATTTCATAACTTTTGACTATTTTAGAAAAATCATAATAAATTAGGTAGGTATGTGGGATATATTCTGGACGCAGACAGGCTCACTATCTGCACATATACCAGATGTTATTTTAAGTTATTAAATGATTGCATTTTTGAAGCATTCTTTTAAGGGAAATTTGGTGACCAATGTTTGAAAAAATACGTGCGTTTGTCATGCAATAACTACAGTTCAGGATAAAAGTCTGTTTGCATGTCCAATTATCACATAAAATCACAATGAAAATTTATCACACCTTTAAAAGTCCCACATAAGACAAATTCGCATTTATAAGCAAGATGAATCGCTTTCAATAATCAATATTCCATATTATATTGCTTTAATAACTCATTTTGTGGTTAAATCCTGTATGTGTACATTATAAAGTCATAGTCTAAAGAAATTGTATTACAAAATACATTCAAACCAATTATTTTGTATTTTCAAAACGTAAACACACATATTTTTTCCAATCATCCTATATTCTAGAAGAGTAATACTCGCGTATTTAAGTGAAAATGAACTACTATCTGTCGATACTTGTACCTTGGCATTGCACATGGTCATGTTTTTCTCTGACTGTTTATGACGTCTTTACACTAAATCCATTGGATGGTGGATGTGTACGGATTGATGATTTACTCTTAGATGCATGATTTTTTTATTAGTTGTTAGTGGCTTTGAACTAGCTGTCAGTAACTGCGAGTATCCTCAGATCTGTACTTATTGTCTTTTTTGTTGTTTGGATGTTCAAGTGCCCGGCAGCGTCTACTTGTATTTGTAGTATTTGTGATGAGTTAAGCCTCTTTCAACTGCTTTTATTGTTCGTTCTTATGTTGTACTGTTACACCACTGTCTCAGGTAAGGGGGAGAGTTGGGATCCAGCTAACATGTTTAACCCCGCCACATTCTGTATGTATGTGCCTGTCCCAAGTCAGGAGCCTGTAATTCAGCGGTTGTCGTTTGTTTATGTGTTACATATTTGTTTTTCGTTCATTTTTTGTACATAAATTAGGCCGTTAGTTTTCTTGTTTGAATTGTTTTACATTGTCATTTCGGGGCCATTTATAGCTGACTGTTCGGTATTGGCTTTGCTCATTGTTGGAGGCCGTACGGTGACCTAAAGTTGTTAATTTCTGTGTCATTTGGTCTCCTGTGGAGAGTTGTCTCATTGACAATCATACCACATCTTATTTTTTATATAGATGGATTCGTATTTCGTATTCGTATACACTGTTGTCGCTTACAGGTGGATACTTCTATCCTAACTTTATAACATGGAGTTCGACATTAATCATATGTCATCTTACATTTTTTCAGCAGCTATATCATTCAGCATTATAAATTATTATGTCAATATAAAAAAGTAAACACAATCATTGTTATCATCATAGAACTGCAATCTTTTTATCAAAAACTAAATACAAGTCTATAAAACATTAAGTATGATTAGTTGTGCATGTTGACAGGTAGATATATATATATTTTACAACTGCATCGAGTTTTATACGATATTTATCCACTCGAGACAATTAAATTATCAAATTTAAAACGCGAGGCTCGCCGAGCGTTTTAAATATTTAAAATTTAACTGTCGAGAGTGGATAAATATCGTATTACACGATATTTGGTGGTGGAATCTGTTTCTAATGATTTTCAAACAATATGCAGGCAAACTTA